AGACACTCCTCAGCAAAACGAAAGATCGAAGTAAATACAACAGAGATCGAACAAAAACTGATGAACATCCCCGACGCGAGTATTTTTGAGATCTGTCAAAATTTCTTCATCAACGATCCCGAGCCAGTTGCACAGTCCTTGAAAACAATGAAAAAGGTGTTGCTCGAGATTAGAAATGGAAGTAACGAATTGACGTCCCGTGTGTACGACATCATCGTACAAACCAATTCAGTGGCCAGACTTCTTCTACTGTTACAAGGAAATATATCGGAAGAGGCGAAAACAAACATCTTTTTCATTTTAATTGATGTCAGTTGTGGTGATGCGTCACAGGTCAATGCACTGTTCAAAGCAAATGCGGTTGACCTTATTCTTCCATTTCTTGCAGACCCAACTTTGTGCCAAGAGGCGCTGTTTTTGCTTTCGAATTTGGCGGCAGACAATTCTCGAAATAGAGACATCGTGTTTTCAAAAACTAGAGACTTGTTGAGGACTGGTTTGGGTAATATGGTTGTATCCCCACCGCCAAACTTGCTCTCTTTAATTTTAAATTTCTGCTCAAACGCCCCGCCAATCAATATATCATTGTTTTCGGAATTCATCAATTTTATGTTTGAGATTGTGAGGGGAAACGATTCCAAATCGATCACCTTGGTGCTTCAAGGATTTTATGGGTTGATACAAAGTGATGAATACTTCAAGTACCTTCTCAACCCGCTCCTTCCGGTGATACTTAAAACAGTAAGTAGTTCCAATGAGGAACTTTTCACACAAACGATGTTCTTAGCAACTTTAATTGCTGAGCACTCGTCTGAAACGTGTGGGTTACTTGTCTCTTCGGGTTTTGTTGGGGCTGTTTCTAAAATGCTTGCTATACACAAACTAACCGTCGATGTCGCTCAGTTTTTCAGGACAATTCTTAAAGGTTCTGACCAAACCTTTGCCATTTCTTTCATGGGCACTGAGTTGTGGAAGGACATTGTAGCTGCTATTCAAGAAGAGCACGATAAACGAACGGTCTTGGAGTGTGGTGTTCTCGTGGTCGAGACGATTTTAAGTGTTGACAACGACAAAGCTGCTCGGTATGTCGACGACCACATGGTTTTTGATGGTCTCAGTCGGTTTGTCTTTCATTCTTTCACCCAAATTTCTCGCCTTATTTGTTGTTCCGTTCCACCCAAACCAATCTTTTCTTCTCATTTTTATTGTTATTCAAAATGTTATTCATTCGCAGGTTATTGACTTTTGTTTTCGATGGAGGTGATGTTCTTGTAGATCTTCTTCTTCGTTTTGTTGAAAAGGTGATTAGTATTGGGGACGAGAGTCGTCGTATGAATTCTGGGAATAATTGGTGTATTGATATGCTTGAAGAGTCAAATTGTTTAGGTCTTATCGAAGGCCTTTTAGATCGAAACGACCTTTCGGTTGAAACTGGCGAAAAATTGGAGGAGATTGTTGAACTACTGTGCAGTGATAAAAGTGACGACCAAGATTGATTGTAGTTTTTTATAGTTTAATTTAGGAATTGTCGTTATCCTGAACAGTATTTTTTTATTTTAATGAAAATTACATCAAATAAATAATATTGTATAGCTTAAATTCTAGTACAACAATACTACTAAAAATATAATTAAAATATAGTTTATTGTAGTGTTCAATCGAATGGTTAATAGTATAGTAAATTAATTAATAAATAAATAGTAAACAGTACTTCAGTTGATGCCCGGATTTGAGCAAGTAAAATCGTTTCGATGAATATTAGCAACAAAGATATTATCGAAGCTGTGAGTTTTAGATAAGCTGTTTTCTTTTTCTCCATAGAAATCATGACTATGCAAAATCTGAGCGATCTCATCGTCAACGAAAGTAGAATCTGGTGAACTTGCCTTTTTCGTTTTGTTTGATTTTATTTCCTTTTTTGACTTTTTATCGAGTTTAAAAAGATTTGGCTGAGATTGAGTAACTCCGAAAAAATCGGAATCAAACTGAGAAATGGTGGAACAGAATCTGAGTTGTGAAGGGATACAGATTGCTGAGTTACACCGGCGGAAGTTGAGTTTAGAGGAATAATTTAGTTTTGGAGTACGTGGAGATGTTTTGATGAGTTTATCTTCTTTGTCATATTTTTCCATTTTCGTTTCGGGTGAACAAAACGAACAACGCGGGGACGATTGAAGGGAACAAGATGACATAGTGATATAAATGAGTTCTCAATGACGAAGAAGAAGTAAAAAAGCAAATTGTTCGTTTGTGACTGTAACTGAAGTCGCCGTATTTTCGGTGGAGAAAATAGATGATTTGATTCGTCGTTTTTTTTTATTCTGCAATAATTTAACTTTTTACCATTTCAATACAAAAAGTAACTTTCGTTCTGGACAAAAGAAAATTTAGTCAAATGCAATGGAAATGAAAGAAAAAGTGTGTGTAATTGTGTAATCATTTTGATCATAAAAAAAGAAGTTGCAAATTTTTTTTGGAATAACAAAATGGAAATGATACGGAAGAAGTTAAAACATATTTTTGGTTTTTTTCAACACCCCTTTGTCAACGGCTTTGTCTGGCATTCGCAAATAAAAAAACCCATTTTTTTTTGTTTAATAGCATTTATATTATCATTTATTAGTAATAATTAAAATGTTATATTCTGGTAACATCAAATCATAAATTGCCAATGATTTCTATTCTTGTGAATTA